AGCCTCTATACCTGGGTCGGGCGGCACACACAGGTAACAGTCACCCTCAGCACTAACAGTCAAAGCATACATGGCAGCAAGAATAGCATCATAGTCAAGAGCAAAGATATCCACATCGATCCTAAGCAGCTCTCGCCAACAGGGGAGCTCGGCCTCGTCGCCAAACTTTGTGCGCCGGGCGTCGTCAAGACGGGAGAAGCAGCGGTACTGAGTGTAACCAACCTTCCCGCATGCCTGACCAGCCTGATCACCCTTGCGAATGACGTACGGGTAGCGAACAGTACCCTCAGACGCCCCACGCTTAGCAAACCACTCATGAAGCTGCTGGGGCGTTAGGGTCTCGCGGGGATGCTGCTGCTGCTGCCTCTGGCCACCACCAGAACCTCCCCTCTGGACCGCTCCACCCCGACCGCCACCACTGCCGCCGCCACCACTCCCACTGCTGCCACCACCGCCGCCACCACTCCCACCGCTACCACCACCGCCGCCACCGACGCCTCCACCCCCACCACCACTACCGCCACCACCACCACCTCCACCGCCTCCACCACCACCTCCACCGCCGCCACCCCCACCACTCTTGCCTCCCTTGCCCTTGCCGCTGCGGCGCCTCCCACTAGGAGCAGACGCAGCCCCGACCTCCTTAGCATGAAGGAAGTTAACTGCAGCAGCAAAAGCGACAAAGGGGGCAAGGGGGGAGGGGGAACACCCCTCAAAGAAGGGAGTGCGAGGAGTGCCACGAGAAGCACCTACAGCGACTATGCTAGTCTCAACTACAAGGAGATGCTTCTCGAGCAGGTCGACAGTGAGGTCTGTGGGGTCAAGGGCGAGAAAGTGGTCCCTAACTGCGCGAAGAGAGTTTAGGAGGCGGGTGACGATGAAGTAGAGAGTGATGTACATGGGGGGTGGGTTCTTGTCTTGAAACTCGGATTTAAGCACAGCGCGGTAGCGAGTGTCGCTAGTGCGAAGGTGGGTGATGAGGTCGTCGACTGTGGAAAAGTCTGACAGCTCAGGAAAGAGGTAGGGCAGTATGAGTCGGCCTAGAGCAGCAGTGGCAGGGGAGGAGTAACGAGCGACTACAGCGTCAAACAGTGCCTTAGCAGTCTTGTTCTGGCCAAAGTGCGTGCGTTCGGCTAGCGGCAGGTGGTTTCGAACGGCGAGACGAGCAGTAGTGTCGCGGGTAAGCCACTGTAAGCAAGTCGCACTGTCAGCTGTCCCGAGAGGAGCAAGAGAGGTCCCAGACGTGTGGTCAAACAGGGAGACGTCCTCCCTATACTCGCTCTGTAGGTACAGCTGTAAGTCGTCTAGCCATGTCTCAAACTGGATCGGACAGCCCTTAGAATCGAAGGTGAGAACACTAATAGAGGCCATAACGGGCAGAGCAGGGTGGCGCACAACCAGCAGGGCAGCACGCAGGCAAGGCAGGGCGGCGCACAGGCAGCTGGGAGGCGCGCAAGGCAGGGCGGGGAGGCGCGCAAGCCAGTGCGGGGCGGCGCGCGGCTAGGGAAGGGCGGCGCGCGGCCAGGGCAGGGTGGCGCGCTGCCAGCAGAGCGGCACGCGGGCACGGGGTACGACGCGACGGCCAGATCAATGCGGCGCGCTGCCAGTAGGGCGGCGCGCGGGCACGCATGACAGGGCGTGCGCGGGCGGCACGACGCAAGGCAGGGCGTGCGCGGGGCGGCGCAACGCAGGGCAGGGCGTGCGCGGGCGGCGCGACGCAGGGCAGGGCGTGCGCGGGCAGCGCGACGCAGGGCAGGGCGTGCGCGGGGCGGCGCGACGCAGGGCAGGGCGTGCGCGGGGCGGCGCAACGCAGGGCAGGGCAGGGCGGACGCGGGGCGCGCGACGCAGGGCAGGGTGTGCGCGGGGCAACGCGATGCAGGGCAGGGCGTGCGCGGGGCGGCGCAATGCATGGCAGGGTAGGGCGTGCGCGGGCGGCGCTACGAAGGGCAAGGCAGGGCAGCGCGACTGGTGGGGCATAAAAAAACGGTCAGGGTACTATTTGATGGGCCCTAAAAAAATGGTCCTGGAACAAGACCTGCTCTAAAACCATGTCAGAATACTGAACGAGAAATGAATGCATTGAGAACAAGCTGAGTACAATTACTAACCTTCATTGGGCTGTACCCCTTATGGGCTACCCCACTACAGCCTACACAACATAAGCATTATCATGAATTGACAGCTGGGCACTGGCGCACGTCCATTGCGCTGGCGTTGGCGCTGGTTGCTGGCGCAGTGCTAGACTGGACGGGTGCGACACGACGCGACGAGACGGGCAGGCACGACGGGCGCAAGGGGACGGGACGAAACGGGCATGACGCGACGGGACGGGCAGGCGCGACGGGCGCAAGGGGACGGGACGGGACGGGTAGTGCGGGGCGGGCAGCGAGCGAGCGCCATAGTGGGTGATGTAGCAGCCATGTCTTAGGATAACTGGTCCTTAGGATCGAGAACTTGGCCAACGAGGGGTTCAATATTAAGAGAGATACAAGATATAGCAATCGGAGGTGGCCAATGGAGGTACACCACCAAGAGGCAAGATTGGATGATACTACACTACTAGCTATGCATGTAACTATATAAGAATATTATATTCTAACAAGGCCCTAATACTTGTTTTACGCCCTCTGAGCAATCCAACCTGAACATTTTGGTTGTCATGAACTTCATACCCCGGGCTGATTTTATCAGGGTAATTACCTTGATTTCAAGGACATCACAGACTTGTCACCTTGTGGTCCCTGCAATTCTAGAATTTACAACTTGTGAACACTGATCCATTCAGAATGATGCTTTAGCGAACCCTGAAATTTTGTATACACGCTCAGAGTAGTGTTCTTATTGACTCTGTCAATGCAGAGTACGAGTCTTGTGGACCCTGAATGCGGCGGTATCAGGACGAAGGTCCCAGGAAAATTCGTCCCGATAACCCCCCATGTGCGTAATCATGATTTTGATTGCACCCATGTAAGGGACCCCTTTTACGCGCAAGACTGACGTAATACCGACAAGTAACACAACATCACGCTGTGCAGCACCGCTGCACAGTAGAGTTGTCAACTTTGACAGCGCAACCGGGCCCATGATGGTTTGCTGCCACGCGCACCGCGCAATGCACAGCATATCTCCTTCATTGGCCAGAGAGGCATCTTGACAGTCGGCGCTGGCAGTCGGGCAGTCCTTCAATGTATCCGGCCTTGCATGAAGGCCCGAAATCATTGACGACTCGAGCCATCAATTTCGTGGCGTGGCGACGCGGAGGTTTCTTGCTGAGCTCGTCTCCTCCAACTATCTCTTGCTTCCCCCTACCCCCAGCCATGGTCGTGAAAGTGGTGCTGTTATTTTCAATTCGTTCGTTCATTCTCGCAGTGTCTCTCGCTTCCCCTCTCTTCTTTCTCGCCACCATGGAAGGCCTGCCGGCCGACGATGCTTCTCCTCAGGCTGGCTCAAGTGAGCCACCTTTACCGTCAAAACCCACGAAGCCTACCCTGCCAGAGAAAGCTTCTGATGCCCCTCGCTCTGGACTAATTTTCCTTGGAACTAGCGTTGCTCCAGTTACACCCGATTCTCCTAGGTCTACCGTTCATGTCTCTGCAGCTAGAGTAACTTCCACTCCGTCTGAGCCTCCCCGTCCCGCGGCCTTCACTCTACCCCCGGCTGTTGCTTCTTGCAGTAAAGATCCCCCACCGGCCTCACCGAGTCCCACACCAAGCACGGTGCGGGTGTCCGTTTGGTCCTCTGTCGGCTTCTTCCACCCCCAAGCGAGCACGATCTGGGAAGTGGGCGCAGAGTACCCTGGTCCTCCGAGGCCGCCGCATTCCACCGCCTGACAAGCTGGTTGATCCACCACCTGATGTCGCTGAGATCCCGAAGGAAGGTGATATCCCTGTCTGCGCGGACACCGGCTCGCCCGCACTCACCAAGATGCAGCTAAGAGAGCAGATGTACCTTGAGGCGAGTATCAATTACGGAATGAAGTGGTCGGGCATGTTTTCGTGGGTGGTGTTTGGGAAATCAAAAGATGGATTTCCCTATGTGAAGTGCAGCATCTGCATGTCATACGGGAGGGAGAACACGAAGTACGCCAGGCAAGGTGATGACGGTGGCCGTGACTTGCAGACGCAGTCGTTATGTGCGCACGAGCACACGGACGCTCACACGGCAGCTATTGACCAGTAGATGAAGATTGCGCAGGGCATCCGCAAGGGACAGCAGGTGAGTTCGAACTTCATCAACTTGGACGTCGAGGGGCGCGCGCGATTCGACTGATGCGGTCGGTTCAGTTTTTGTGCCAGTGCGACACGCCGATCCGCATGTTTCCAAAGCTGATGCGGCATCTCGCGGAGCAGGACACGCCCGACATTCCGCAGCAATCCTACAGGGTCTATCTCACTCGGTATGACACTGTTTTAGTGTATGGCTTTGTTACGTGTGTTGCGTTAAAGGTTTGCTTAATTTGTTGCTTACCATTTGAGTTACACACATGTGCAAGTACGGCTTCCAGCAGATGGTTCACAGCACCGGTACCTACCTGACGCGAGTGCAGATGGACCACATCCAATCTACCCCCTTCCAAGGCATCAGCTGCGACCAGAGCACCGACCAAACGCGAGGGAAACACATGATAGATTACCTGACCTTTTTGAAGAATCGTCAAGTCGCATGCGAGCTGACAGTTGAGAGGTGTGATGTAGGGTCTCTGTTCGAGGTGCTATTGAATCATCTCCGCTCCTCAGCTGTCGATGTGTCCAAGATCGTGGGCATCAGCACGGACGGGGGCGTCGGTCATGGGGAAGGATAACGGATTGGTGGCACGGCTTCGGGAACACGTCCCGCATCTCTTTCCCTGTCACTGCATCGCCCACTGGCGAGTTTGCAAGTCATTGTGAATCGATGTACGTGTCTCTTGTTTCAATCACACATGTTGTGTTATGTCCCCTGCGTCCTACAGAGAGGCTCTGGCTGTGAAGGACGCTGCGATGTCAAATCTGGACCTTGGGATGGTCGACAAGGCAGTGCGCACTGTGGTGGCATGCTCGGAAAATCAAGCATTTGGAGTCAGCGCTTCAAGTACCTGCAGCGAGTGATCTACATCACAAACCTTGAAGTCCAGGGGATCCATACGGTTTAGTGGCTGTCACGAGGGGATGCAGTTCGCCGGCTGTGCAAGGTTTTGGGCGCTTGCATCGTTCTGCTCTGGGAGCACAGCCACAAGGTGTACGAGATTGTGACGAGCTACAAGTTCCCATTTTGCCTGTTTTTCATCGCTGACATCCTCGCCGACATGAACGACCTCAACCGTTGCTTCCAGTGGCGTGATGTAAGTTTTTTTCCTACTGTGAGTTGGCCTGTGTTTGTTAAGAGTATTGTATACTAATGCTAACCGTATAACCTTTTCTCAATGTTTGCAATGTGACAGTTGGATGGGACGGAGATTGCCAAGACCATTGAGTCCACCACGGGGGATCTGACGGAGTGGTACTTGATGAACGACAAGCCGTTCGGAGGCGAGGGCAAAGGGTGGTTGGTCGGCTTTCTCAAGCTCCACAGGGAAGGCGGAGGCAAGCAGGTCCGGGTGCGAGGCGTGGACGGGGAGGGACGCCCAATCAACCACCTCTACACCATGCATGAGAGGAAGCTCCCGGGGCACAAGCAGGGAAGCAACTACGTTGAGTGCGTGAAGTTGTGCCGCAGGTTTGCCCGAGATTGCGTGGACAACCTCAACGAGCGTCTGGATGACCTAGGGAAGCTAAGGCCGATGAAGTTGTTTCAGGCGGGAAAGTGGTCGAAGATCAAGGCTCAACAAGAGAAGAAGTGCCGTGAGTGGCTGCTGGGATGCAGCAAGCTTTTCTGCAACAAGCTGCCGGGATTCGACCTCAAGGCAGCAGAGAGGGAGCTTCCGACTTTCTGTGCGATCATGGAGACGCACCACGAGTTGGAGAGCTTCTCGCAGGGGCTGACTGTCTTTTTCGAGAGTGCAGACTCCTAGAGGTAACGATCTGCTCGGGCCACCGATGTTTCTGAGTGTTAGTGCGTATGTCATTAACGTTTCTTCTTGTTGTGTGCTTGAATGTACCTGGTAGGAGATTAGTGCGTATGTCATTAACGTTTCTTCTTGTTGTGTGCTTGAATGTACCTGACAGGAGATGGCCCAACCTCATCCTTCTGCGGCAAGCGCTCGCTGTACTCCCCCTCTCAACCGTGGAGTGCGAGAGGGGTTTCTCCAAACAAAACGTCATCAAGTTGTGGGTGCGAGGAGCGCTCCGCAACATGCGGCTGGGCGAGCTGATGCAGATCTCACTCCTGATGTATGACATCGACTGGCTGGAAGCACTGGAGGTCTTGAGGTCCATGCACAGGAGGCGCCTTGCGAAGAGCCTGAAGTTGGCTATGGCGGAGAGAGACAGGAAGAGGAAGCAGAAGGAGGGTGAAGACGAGGTTGTTGAAACTGCCGGGCAGAACGAGGATGAGGAGGAGGAGGAGGAGGAGGAGGATGAAGTGGAACAAGACCTAGGCGACGATCAGGAGCTCGTGGGGGAGGAGGAGGAGGAGGAGGACAACCCCTTCTTGTCGGACGATGAGGATGTGGAGGAGGTGTACCACATCGCCAAGCCTGTGCACTAGATAGAGTAGGAAAGTTCCATTCTAGCATTATGTATAACGCTGTGTAAAGCGTAGTGCAAATTTTAAACCAACCCTGATTTCATGTTGTGAACCCTGGCAAATCAGAGTAAGACTTTGGTGGGCACTGTGCTATCAGGATAGCAAACCTGTGAAAAATGTGCCAGGGGGAAAATATTCCCCGGAATCAGGGAGGCTCAAAATGAAACGTCAGCCCTGTTCATACCGTCTAGCCCCGGATAGTAGCGCATACCGTATGCGCTTATAATAAAATCAATTTTTTTAAGGGGGGCGCTTGGAATTGAGTAACGGCCATAAGCGTCGATGCCTATATAATGTCAAAATTGAAATTTGTTATTAAAGGCACCAGCTTGAAGCCCTCAATAAGGCGAACACAACTGTGTAACTTTCACGTGGGGTCATGCATGGAATCCCTGCGAAAACTTGCCGCGATTCGATTTTCCACTGCACAAAAACCGCCCTGGAGCAACGCACCTGCCAGCGCTGACGCGAAACCTGCCGGGCGGCCCAATCAGGTTGTCATGCGCTGCCAGGCAGGAGCATTTCATCCGAACCCTCCAGAAGGGGGTGGAATATGCCTTGCCGGCACAGCATCTATGGTGCCGCAAACCCTCCTCTACGGGTTCAGGCAGGAGGGTACACGTCTCTCATTAACGAGGACCCCGAGCTGCTAACCTTAAGGGGTCCCCTTGAATCTTTCATTTATTCACCCAGTCTTTTAGTTTTTCCTTCAGTTAACCGCAATCGACCCCACCCTTCTTTTGAGAACCGTGATGCCCGCCCCCCTTCTCCGAGGCATAAGCTCAACCATCATAAGCGACAAGCTTATACTGCGCAAGAGAAACTGAAGTGGATCGCGCGGCTGGATGTGGCGGTGTCGGTGCGCGCGTTGTCTCGCGAAACTGGCATCCACCGCAAGTGTCTCACGGAGTGGAAGAGAGCCGCGGACTTCCTCAAAGAAGCCCACTCCGCCCGGAAGCGCATGCACGGCCGCGGGAGGTCTCCTTGGTACCGCCCGATGGAACTGAAGGCTTACGAGAAGCTACTTGAGTGGCGTCGCAAAGGAACCGCCGTCTCTGTCGGCCGTCTGCAGGAGTGGTCGCACGAGTTCATGAAACTTCTCTACCCGGTCGTGAAGTTGAAGGGCAGCCAAAGGTGGGCAGACCGGCTTTGGAGGCGGTGGAATCTGAGCGTCCGCATGAAGACGAAGGTTGCCTAGAAGACCGCAGCTCGTGAGAAATTCCTTTCGTATTGTTGTTGTGTTAGTTTTACTGCTTTCGTGTACTAGCCATTATGTCTTGCACTACACTCTGTGTTTCACAGGTGTCGCGGAGCTATGCCGAAAGTTCTGGCAGTACGTCTGTAACAAGCGTCGTAGGCATGGCATCGAGACCACGTGGATTATCAACGCCGATCAGATGCCGCTGTGGCTGGAGATGCCCGCCACCACCACCGTGGAACAGACGAGCGTTCGGTCAGTGCCCATCCACTGTGCAGAGTACCAGAAGGAGCGTGTGACCGTGATGCTGGCGTGCACGGCGGATGGGGAGAAGAACAGGTCGTGGGTGTTTTTCAAGCGAAAGACTGTGCCGAAGGGAGATTTCCTGTCAGGTAAGTTTTTTTTTATGTTGTTGTTGTTTCTATCGTTCGTTGTTTATGTTTGCTGTTTAACTATCGGATCTTGATTGTGCAGATGTGGTCGTGGCGTGCCACGACAATGGGTGGATGGACGCCAAGGGCGTCATGCGATGGCTTGAGGAGTGCATCAAGCCGTTCCTGAAGCCTCGGTTCGGGAGGCAGGCGAGGAGCGCAATGGTGGTTCTTGATTCCTACTGTGGTCACCTCTCTCAGGGGGTGAAGGATAAGTTCCACGAGCTCAAAATCGCGCCGCAGTGTTCCCGGCGGGCTGTACGGTGGAGGTTCAGCCCCTTGACGTCTCGATCAACAAGTCGTTCAATGCCTCCGTTCGCCAACATTTCCATAAGTGGTTTGAAGGAGAAGGCCAACAGCGACTGACTACAGCAGGTACGGGATCTAACTGGCATATGTGACGGTTTTTATTCCCCCCCCTCTATTGATCTAACGACTTTCCCTCCTATGTTTCTATAGGTGCAGGGAACCTGGAGAAGTCGCCCCCAGCGGTGGTCCTGAGATGGATCTCACGGGCCTGGAAGGCCGTGCCCACCGACCTCATCAAGCGCGCCTTCCTCACCTGTGGCATCAGCAACGCGCTTGGCGGCAGTGAGGACGGGCTCGCCATGGCGCACAGGCGGAGACAGCTGACAGCGAAAGTGGACGTCGATGATGACATCATCGCCAATGGCTTCTTTGGCAACAATTGCCAGGAGCCCGAGTCTGAGGAGGAGGAGTAGATCCTAGGTAGAAAGGCCAAACTCTGAAATGTGTAGCGATAGATAGAATTTTTTAAAATGTTGTAATAGCTGGATCACGAAATCCTTAGTGCAAATTGAAAAAAAAAAAAACGAAGTTTTTAATGTGCAGTAAAAACTACATAATATAAAAAAAGGTGCGCTTATAATCGGACAGCGCTTATATCCGGAACCATACGGTACTCGAAATTTTCATTACGCTACTAGCCGTCGATTGGGGAGCAGCTGACGGAGAAGTCGGCTAAGCAGCGGACGATGGCGGAGCATCTCGACGACGGGAAGGGCGGAGATGAAGAAGGGCATCCATCGGCATGGGAGTAGTCCATTGACACTGGCGTAGTGGAAGTCCCGTTGACGAGGTGAAGCTGCGACTTTCCACCCGCCCCAACCTTCGCAGGCCTCCAGAGAAGTGGATTGTGACAAGACTCTACAAGGAGTCTGCAATGCAGTCGTCATAGGTAGGAGCAAGAACGCGCCAAGGGCGAAATGACGCGGCATACCGCGTCATTGCAGACTCCTTGTAGAGTCTCATCTGTCGTTACGCCTACGGTTGTTAGGTAGGAGTCTCATCTGTTGTCTCATTTGCAGTCGACAAGACTCATCGCTGGCAGTCGTCATAGTCATCATCAGTTGTACATGGCACACATTAATATAAATAAATAGCAGGAACAGACAGTGCATACTATCTAGGCGTCTAAACATCTAAGGGGTGCGGTGGGCGGAAACTTAAACTGAGATGGATGAAATGAGACTAGGTGGCAGGTCTGTGGACCTGCCGAAGGATAAGGGGGGGAATGCCTCCTTATTGCATTCCCCCTTTTCGAATCTTGTCACAATCATTAAATTTAGAAATTTATTTCTAAATTATGCATATTTAACATGCTTGCCTGCCGACTACACTCTTCTCGACGGGGTGCAAGCTGACGCCGACCTACCCAAGCTCGACCTCGACATGCACGCCGACCAAGAGAGGCGATGGGACATCGCGACCATGACGGTCAAGAAGGTGTTGGCTGTCATAATATTATGCTCTAGCCTGTAGTGGGGTGCTCTATAGCGAGTACAACCCTTCTAGGGTTTGCTATTTGTATCCCCATTCTTACTAGTGCAACTCCTCTTTGCCTAAACTTCTCTTGCCTAGCTAGGGTTCTCCTAGCTATGGCTCCTAACTATCTTTACTATCTCGACATGCTATCAGAGCAGGTCGATCCCTTTGGATCGATCCTGTGGGTGGGCTCACCACCTCGTTGCTTCCGCTGCAACTTCCGCTGCTACTCTATGTGCCGCACGCCCCGTGGCGTGCGGCAGTTTTTTCTTCCCGCCGTGCGCCCCGAGGCGCGTGGCGGTTTTCTGCCCGCCGTGCGCCCCGTGGCGCGCGGCGGTTCTCTGCCCGCTGTGCGCCCCGAGGCGCGCGGCGGGCTTCTGCCCCGTCACTCGACGCGTCGCCCCCGGGAGGCGTTGCGACGGGCGACGGGGACCCGCGCGTCGCCCCCCGTCGCCCGTCGTGGCCTGCGCGCGGCCCGTACAGCCGGCGTGCGGCCCGTACGGGCTGCGCCAGGCCTGCGCGCGGCCCGTACGGGCTGCGCCAGGCCCGCGCGCGGCCCGTACGGGAAGCGCCAGGCCCGCGCGCGGCTCGGGCCGCCTGCGCGCGGTTCGGGCGGCTATGCCAGGCCCGTGGGCGGCCCGTTCCTCGCTGCCCCTGCCCTCCCCACTGTCCCCCGTGCTTCTACTGGCGCCCCACCCCTCCTACAGCCCGTTCTCCTGAATTAGGGTTTGGGGGTGAGGGGTATGGGGGTGAAGCCACTGAGTGCCGTTCCCTGTTCCTCCTCCTCCTCCGTCTCCCTGTGCTGCAGCTGCCGCTGAGGGGGGGTGGACTTGTTGGAGCCGTTGGAGTGGTACTAAGGGGGGGTGAAGGGGGAGTGGAGCTAGCGGTGTAGCAGCGGGTGTGTGTCAGGGG